TTATCTACCTGGCTGGTTACATCCGCAAAGAACTGCAGCAAGTTTGTCAAGCACGATGTGCCCTTCATGAAACAGTGTTGATTTTGGTGAATCGAGCTTTGCTTTTCCAAGTGATGAGTTATCTCCTCCTTTATGATTGACTCCAGCAACATAACCATTAGCGGTCAAACTAACCAGGTCTACAGTTTCAACTTTTTGCCAGGCTCTTTTTTTGAATAATGGTGTCACATTAACATGTTTCCAATCCACTGGTACCTTTCCAAAATCCAGGGAATTTTACAAAATCATAACTAATGCATTCTTTATATCTGCTGCCACTTCCTTTAATAGTCTAGGATGCAGGCCATCAGGCTTTTAGTGCCATCAGATAACTTAAAGCCTTCTCCCTAGTTATAGTAATTTTACCAAATTCCTTTGTAGTAACTGCAGTTTTTCACATGAAATTATTACTTTCACTGTGAAAACAGAGACAAAATATTGGGTAGTGCCTCTGCACTTCTGAGTTTCCCATTAAAATCTTGCCATTTTCGTCTTCTAAAGGACAAACATTTACTTTCACTATTCTCTTTTTTTATATATTTATAGAAACTTTTGGCATCAGTGCTTATGTTTTCTGCTAGTAACTCCACACAGACAATCAAACAAGGCTGTAATCAGACTTGGATCCTTGATGTTGCAAAGCAGCAGTGCTAACCACTGAGCCACTGTGCAACCCAATAATCAAGTTCTTTGCTGAGAAACAGCATCTTTGCCTTGGATCTGAGCTTTAATAGTATTTAACCAAGCCTGATCTCAGGACACCATGGCTTGCTGGAAAAGTTGTGCTATTTTCTGATGGCATGCTTTCCCCAATTGGATACCAGTCTCAAGCACTAGGCCCTACTGAAGGAGCTGTTTCATAATACAAGTAATGATAATAGAAAGAACATTCGAATAGAAATTGCCACAAATCAAAATAGAACTGGTATTATTTAAATAAAGACAAAATTTCCTCAGATATTGTTTAAGTATAAACATATGGTACAAGCAAACCCCTTTTTTCTTTAGCAGCATACACTTCAAGATTCCACCAGTCAGACACAATGAGTGGTGTTAAGGCTCCAAACTATTTCTAGCAGCAAGCTGAGAAGTTAGTCTGGAATCAGAAAGTTTCAGCAGAGTGTTCATCAGTGACTTTATAAACTCAGTCTCAGCATTTGTACATAGAACATAGAACAGTACAGCACAGTACAGGCCCTTTGGCCCACAATGTTGTGCCGAACTTTTACCCTAATTCTAAGGTCTATCTAACCTCCACCCCTACCTTATACTATCATCCATATGCCTATCTAATAGCCGCTTAAATGCCCCTAATGAGGCCGACTCCAATACCCACTCCAGCAGATACTTGTATCTGGCTGCTGGGATGTAAAACCATGAGTTTCTGAGGGACTGGTGCAAGGTCATGTCCAGAGATTGCATTTCTACCCTAGAACCCTGGGCTTGGGTTTCCTTTGTCCTATGAAACAGCAGATGGGTGAGCTGAAGTCTGCTTCTGCTATGGTGGATCCTGTTCCTCCTATTCCCCTTCATGAGTCTAGGGTAGAACTCCAGAAACAATTCTGATATCGCAGTGAAGGCTGATGATAGAGAAACACATCAGGTGCACAATTAATCAAGGTAGCAGAAATATCCTCTAAATTGTAAGAAACCACCTCCAGAGAAGGGAAAGTATACTCCCAGAACAGATTTTGTGAGCAAAATCCCTTCATTAAGAATTAAAAAAATGCTGACTTTTTTTAGCAATTAAAGCTTTCTTGTTCATCAACTGCTCAACACTGTTCGTATCTGCTGACCTCTCAACTTGTTCACCTGGTGAGCTCCAAGAGGCCCAGGAAACTTGCACTTGGTGTGAAAGTCAGAATTCAGGACCAAAGCGCCAGGTAACTGCTTTTAAACATATGTAATCGCTTCCTTTATCTTAACAAACAAATTCAGATTAAACATGGAATTTAGCAGGTTCCTGGAGTTCACATCTATTTCAGCAGTTTCTGGTCTTTTAATCCGCCATCTAAAAAGAAACTCAACTAACCCTAACAATACTATAAATGAGTGGGGATTTATTCAATCAAACGGCTCACCAATCCAACCATTATCTTTGGAGTTAGAGAATTACACCTGCCTAGGTCAGCTTGGGCTAGGATGGGAGGTGAATTTGGGAATTGCTTAGAGAGGTGGAAGAATTTTATCTGTATTCTGTTTAGATAATATGACAACCAAATAAGGGCTAAAAGAATCAGACAGTGAAGGCATAAAATCTCCCCATTGGACATTATGATACTGGAGTTGTTGTGGAGAATGTGAGATAGCAATTGTGGGGTCTACTGGGGAGAAATGAAAGTGAGATAGATGGGAATAAAGTACTTACATAAATTGTCTAGGCCTATTTAGACTAGTCCAAAGTAATTGCTTTTGGCTTACAGTTGGAAATACTAATCTAATTTCTTCAGAGCAGGCACAGCACCTGTAGATATCAATTCCAATTTACCAGTAAGGGGTGAAGCTTTGGTATAAGGTAGCAGCTACACAGTGAGTTCAACTATTTGGCTGAGCAACTGTTAGAAACTCAAAAACTTTTTGAACAACTCGTTTGGACATGTTATGACGCACCTCTCGAGTGAGAGGGACTTAAACCTGGATATTCAGGTCCAGAGGGCAGGACAGTACAAAGCCTTACAGAACTCTTGAACAAAAACAAAGTTGCTGGAAAAGCTCAGCAGGTCTGGCAGCATCTGTGGAGGAGAAAACAGAGTTAACGTTTCGGGTCCGGTCACCCTTCCTCAGAACTGA